AAATAACTTGTGTGGCGTTATTATTCGCATAAATCATGTTCAAAGGTTGGTGTAGCCTATAATCGACGTAATTGTATTTTAATTACTCGGAACGGAAATTTTTACGTTTAAAAAAAAGCGCCATAAAACTTTCACCCACACACTGCGAACGTATATTTGTCTTGTTCTTGTCGCGCTGCTGTCTATCATTTTATAATGTGGTATTGTTTGTGGGTTTTGGAAAACCTGCTTGTTTTTTGTTTGTTTGTCGCTATTTTTGTGCGCTCATAAATTATATTCGACTTATCATTCTAATCGTTGTCTTACTTTTATTGTTTCAGGTAAGCGAACGGGACATTTTTGTATGAACAGGATGTTGGCAAATGACAAATTAGTCTCGACATGTGAGTAGTAAAAAAACAAATAAAACAAATGCGGAATTTTGTTACACAAAGGCAACAATTTCCTTATTGATGTTCCTTATTTGATGTTAATTTCCATGATGTTCTAAATATTAAAACCACGTTTAAATTTTTACGCGTTTGTAGAAATTTAAGTAATGTTTAACTTGCTTTGTTATTAGCGAAACATGTTTTATTTGATTGAAGGAATCTAGTAATTATTTGAATTTCTACTATTGCTGCCAGTCTATCATTGGCTTTGAAAGCTCATTTGATGCGCGGCCAATTAATAAATTTGATGTCGCGCCGCGCTCGACAACACATTGTTTAAAACGCGTCCCACTCGTTTATCGCGCGATCGTTAATCTCTGCTCAATTCGTGTTTAAAGGCCAAACGCGTATGATGCACGACATACGCACTTGATTTTCCTACCGCAGTGGCGCGCAGGCCTTCAACTTTGTTTGGCGTATTTATATGGGGCTTGGATTCGCGTTGCATTTGCTTTCATCTGCTCAATTCGCTTCCTTATTAAACTATTTTGTTCCGCGGCGCATCAATTTGATTAAAATACGCGTGTGGATGTGCTGATGTTTTGTTTTCACATGTGGGAGGCTAACGTGTGATTACACGTAGATACCTACATGTATTGTGAATGTATCGATTTCGGATGCGGGTGTTTCTTTCATATGATGGTTTTGTGGGCAAGGTCAGTGGTGCGCCAACGTTTTAATAAAATATTGCGTACCACGCGGCACGGAAGCCAAGCTGCCTTATAACGCAGCGCGGCGACCGTCGGCAATTGGAATTGATTAAAGTTTTAGTTTTCGTTTTCCCTTTCTCTTTGAGCTGCAAAGCAAGCTTGAGGCAAGTGGTGAGGTGGTCCCAGACGCATGTCGTCTAACTGCCCATTAAAGGGTTTGAATTATGCATTGAGGTCAAATGTGTTTGTACCTCGGATACATTATTGGACGCAGTTTAAAAATAAAATTTTGACCAAAACGCATAAATAGAATTTAAAATAAAAAATATTTTCAGGTAGCTGTGTAGAATAGTGATGACGTGATTAGTTTATGCTTTGGAGAAATTACACGAATCAATTAACAAGCGGCGTTACTCGTGCGCTACGCGCCCGCCATTGCAAGACATACTTCACATGTCATGCGTTCGTGAATTGTTTGAACTCGAAAGCGCGCTGCACGCCGGAATGCATAAATTATTTGTGCATTATTACGTACGCTATTTACTGTTATAATGAGTGGCGCGCCGCACTGCACCGCGATGTACAAGTGCGATTCCCTCGACGCGCATCTCTAAGAAGACAGACGTCATTAAATATTATTACTATTAGCTTAAAGACGTCTGATAATAGCCACTATACGTAACTAGACTATGTTTGATTTGTGTTTCTACGAAGTGAAATTATAATTAATCTCTAGGATATTCGCTATATTTTAACCAGTTGGGATTTACTGAAAAGTGCTAATGTAAACGTTATAGTTTTTGCTCTCGTTGGCTCAAAATGTAAGACACTGGTGCAATTAACGGTATACCAGGAAGCTGTTATGAATATTTATATTTTATACTCAAACATTAAATTAAGTGCTGATATTATCACGGTTATAACATAAATTTATTTCGAAAAATGTTTGAAAAATTTATATTTATTTGTCTATTGACCAGGAAACGAGTTTCTTTCATTCGTTTTATCGCTGCGAATAAAACTTTGATGAACTGGCTTAATTATTTATTTTACGGTCGTCATTAGGTGTCAAAATGTGTCTGGTTTACAATTTACTTAACAAGTCCACATTCTCGTTCGGAATTAGTTTTGATTCAACATAAAATTAAGTTGAAAAAGCAGGAACTAGCTGTTCTTTTGTGTCTGCTGACAGTGTTTGGTGTGTTGTGTGATGAACTAGTTTGGCACGAAACTACCGTTTTCTCAATGGTGCTCATTACGCACGCCGCGCGATTCCTGAATAATTTCCGAGTGTTTCCACCACCGCTGGGCGCTCGCTCTGGTGGCGGTGTAAATCAAAAAATGCATGGATGCATTTGAGGTAATGTGGGTAATCCAGTTTGTATGTCATTTTGTGCGGTAAGCGGTTTTCAACTGTCCGATTTATGTTTCTTTGTTTGCGCAGATATGCCATAAATATGTGTGGGAAATTGTGTCGGATTGGCTGGAGAGAAATGCTGCGCCTCTCGGTGCGGCATGGTGTTGTGTTGTGTGGTCGAGGGGCCGGGATAATCGAATTAAATCTTTGGCGTGTCACATGTTGCGAATTTAATCCAACGCGTTCGAAATGCTAACGGACGCGCGCTCACAAATGTATAAAGCATGTAATCAATTTTTATTTATTTACGGCGCGTACATTTTTCAAATTTTTCTCTTTTTTCTTTGTCTAAATTTATTAAAATACGTTGACATGTTGACCCAAAAATATTATTTGCAAGCAGCACATTTGCGTCAATATCAATTACTTGCGTTAGAGTAGAATTTCATGTAGTCGGGTTTTTCTTTAACTTCCTGCGTGCGAAACAAAGCATTGGATTCATCCGAACACAGGATGAGAAGGCCATCGCGACACACTCTCAATGCTAGCGAATGACGGTATCTATTAGACGTTTTATTTTTCCTGCGTTTTGTTGGCTCAGTTGGCCGGTTTTCCACGCTTTTCGACGTTAATCACACGTTGACAAGAAAACCCTTTCATTGTGTCTACTTTTACTTCCTCAAAGTTAATTGCAAGTTAATTAAAACATTTCATAAGTAATTATTTCATGTAGGAAGTTGTTAAGTAGTTATATTGGTATTAGGTATCATTTGTCAGTTAACAAAATATATTACTGTGAGTGTAATGTGCGTAATGGTCAGTCGGGTAATAAATGAGATTATTTTTCGTATTTATTGTGCTCGCCGCGTGTGCAGGAACTAGGAAACGCTAGGCAAAGACCAATACCGCTTTTGACCCAGATACGAAATTCACGATACGCCGCTATTCGCGTCTTGCTGCCGCGAGTATTTAGCTTTACCGCTCGCTAGATATGTGAAATGAGTTGGTTTCTTAAAGTTGATTGGTTTTTCTTGGTTTGCCGCGGGTGTTTGTAGGCAAAATTTTTATTAATTTCATGTTTACGTATTGCTAGGCAGTTATGTCTAGTCTATTGCTTGTTGTGTGCAATTGCGATGCATGTTTGAAAGAAAAACAAACCTGCGCGAGCGCGATATTTTCGTCGTCTCTAAATTTATTTTCGGTCAAGCGAAGCGCTAAAAATACATTGAAACGCGTGCGGTGCAGTGCACACGCCGGGCATTGCAATAATATTTACGACCCGCTCGTCTCTGGTCACTTCAAAGTGACCAAACCGCGGTACCGCGAAGGAAGATGCATTTTATGCTCCGTAATTTTTGCTCTATATGCTCTAGTTTTGCATCCAAATTAAACATTTTGAATTACAGCTGTAAATCATACATTTGCATTTCGTAGGACTTTTAATATTGCTGCACCTACATGATTCCGGACACGAATAGTTTTCGAATAATTACGCGAAAACTATTTGTAATTCTATGATTATTTCTTCAAAAATTGTTTTTTAATAAAATTCTGCAATTAATTGTGATGAAATTTTATTCATCAAAGTGTTAAATTAATTTTTCTGTTTGACTCATCAACAAGTATTTTTAGATAGATTGATGTATAATTAAACACTAAATAAGATTATAACGAAACTTTACAAGAAAACCATTTCAATTTCAAGCAATCTGCTATTTACAACAACAATAATCACCTAATGCTGGCGCAACTATAGTTCGCTTGGTAAACGAATTTCCGTTAGACTGGAACATGCACACGAAATTATGTACGATCGATTGGCTATTGCGAAATTGTTTCATTTGTCGATTATGTTGGCGAAGAGCGCCAAGACGATTCGCAATTGAATGCGCAATGAATCGTGAAAAACACGCCGAGAGCTGTGCTGTTTCTGATTGCAATCGATTCACTATCGATGGAAATTCATGGGAAACCTGCGAGATAAACTGTACAATCGAGTATTAAAGTGTCAATGACTTGATTAAACCTAATCGATTTATTGTTTATCCTGTTATCCTATCTAAATAATATCGTGTTGATATAGTCGCGGCGCGCTCATGCGATTATGATAAGATGAATGCCAAATCTTGAATCATGCAAAGACAACGTGACTATATTTTGTGTTCTATTATTAATCATGATAACCTATACACACACACCTGTTATGTGTCACATGAACACAAATGTGAAATTAATTAACTCTCCCCATCAATTTACTAGTTTACAAGTTGTTTGTCACCAGCGTAATTTTATCAAGTTCATGTTTTTCATCGTTGGTTTTTTCTGTCTCGTCTATTGGTAATAATTTGTGTTAATGCAAACAATCGATGGTGTTGTTTTGTTGCACGAAAACAGAGTTTTACGTAGGTAGGGACACTCGACTGACGCTATCGTTCAATCGCTTCTATTATCGCGTCGGATATGGATGTTGACAGTGTGCGATTCGTAACATGTGTGTATCAATACCGTTTAAATGATAACTTTATTCCGCTGTGCGCGAGCGTCGCGTCCGCATCGATATTATTCAGCACAGAAAGTTTTAGTTGTAATTTATTTGTTGACTTCCCCACCGTCGCATTTATTTTTTGCGCGTGGTGCGTAATTACCGTTTGACCAACGACGCACACGACACTAAATTAATGTTAATATCACACTGTTTGGCTCCTCCATTCATCGATTGTCGGTCAGCGAGTGAGTGCGTGTCAGTCGGTTGCATTATTGATATTTTATGATCATCTGACGAGGTTATTAATAATGCAAAATTATAAATATGTGCGCGCGCACGTTGAAATGGTTATTTAAACTATCTGATGTTTGTCCTCTGTGTGTGTGTGTGTGTGTTGAGTGCGCGTAATGGTGATGTACTTGTGCCATTAAGAGGGTAAATTATTTGACATTGCATTTTATTGATGATTCGTCGAAGTAGCGATATTTAGCCGCGATAGCCGGTTTTAGCCGCGTGCGATAATGTGCGACGCGCAGTCGTCGTCGTCGTCGCCAGCGATGATTAGTGATAAATCAACGTAATTAATCATACCGCAAGCACACATCCGTGCAACTCCCGTGCGACATGACGGCTGGCATTGGTGGCGCGGACTGTTGGTGCATTTACAATCGTATTGGTCGTGTGGAATTTTGCGTACCTTGAATTGTTGAGTTTTTGATATTAAAAGTGTTGATTGACAAGTATAAAAGTATAAAATTGAGTGAATTAGTGTATACAAAAGTTTATAATCAGAGGATTATTTTGGATTATCATCATGTGGTATCCGTGCAAAGTTTTCTTAACGTCCATCGACGAAAAGAAACGAAAACATGGTAATTTTCTTTCTTTTTTTATTATTAAAACAACTTGTTGCATACTAGTATACTAAATATTAAATTTCTTCATCTTTTCACTAAATGTTTCAACTTTTATTTATTTGTGTAAATATTTTTTATGCGTTTTGCGCACATGCGCACAGTTATGTAACGCTTGTGACTTTGTTGTGCGCTTTTTCAACTTTTTTAGTGCTATTGTTTTCGTTTGCAACAATGCTGCTCCTTGATGGGTTTATTATGCCGTATGCCGCGTGTCGCTTGCCTACTTTGCTTAATTTTTACTGTTAGCAGCGAGCACGCACATGATGTACGCGGACGATGTCTGAATCCAAAGAGGTGCGTCTTTTATTTCGTCATATTTCGCGATAGGAACAGCTGTACAAATTTGCGAATGATTAATCATCAATTGGAAATAATGATGATTACGATAATTGAGTGATAAACTACTTAAAATAACATCCTGCTTTTTCTGCTGCGATAAGGTGTTTTACCCAGTTAATTATATCGGTTCAATAGTCAAGGTCATTGAAAATTCCTAACTCGATTGTCAATTATAGAAATAGATACTTCAGTTTTTGATAAGAATAGACGATAACACTTTATTGTCACATGTGTTGGTTTTTATGTTTCAATTAGTGGGAAATGTTTGTCACCTGATTGATAACACGACCTTACTCACATCAAATATTTATTTTATCTTTGTACCTTTTCAATTTTGTTCCTAAATTATTATTGTTATTAATTATTACTTTTGATTGAAAAGTAAAAGTAGAAAGAATGTGATAGTTTATTAACAGAATATTAGTATGTGTCAAACGCATGAGTCTTGAAATCAATAGGTTAAATTAAATAATTAATCAGTAATATCGTGATCGCACTGTGAGTGAAAGGGTTAACTCGCTGAACGCGCGCGCTCGCTGGGATCGTTGCAATTAATTAATCAATGAAAATTAATAACGTCCCTCGACCTTTCGGGACCGAGGGATACAATGTCTGATATCGTTCGCCTTGATGGTGTGATATCCTATTAGGAACGTGATGGGAGAGCCCAAGCGTTCTTCGCCAAAACACTCGTCGGGAATTCGAGCGTTTGCAGTTAATAATAAATCTTGCGCGCACGCTTGACGCAACACAATAATAGGGGAATAGAATTAAGAATATTTATATAGCTGCAAAACAAAGACGTGCCTCTGTTGCTGATTAATTAACGACCGCGTGGAATCATCCGAAATCACACTCACATATAGGAAATTTCGGGTGATGAATGTTGCGTGAGTGGGCGAGTGGTTGTCGGACACGAATCGTAACCAGTGCGGTGCAGTTTGTTTATTTCTGTAACAAGGAAGAAGGAACCGAACTGAGCGCACGAGGCATCACTTTTATAGTTTTGACATCGTTTCGACACTGCTTGAACGTGTAATTATTTCTATTTAAAAAAGTTTCTAATGGAAACACAGTAAAGTGTGAAGATGATTTGATTTAAATTTCATCATTTGCATGCAAATGAAGTTTATTATTGTGTAAATAAAGGTTTATTACGTCTTGCGTCGTTTTGCGGAAAGTTTAATGAAGACGGTGGTGAAGCGCGTCTCGTTTCGCGAGCGAGCGCGCGAATTATGCCACCGGGATTTAGTCTTGACCTACATTCGAGGACGGGTCGCCGGAATTGATTTACACCAACACGCAGTCGTGATTTTCAATGCTAACCCTCTCGGGGCGCACATGAGTATCTATCGATCTTTTTTTCTTTGCTTCGTTATTATGTTTTAACATTTTGCATAATTTAGTCTCACATTTAAATGAAACATGTTTGCAACTTTAACCGAATAGACTAATTAGAGTGTGCAAATTTGCGTCGGTTAGCAACGATTACGCAAGGCTAACATTATGTAAATGGATGTAATGCTCTCAAAAATTTTCAAATTTGTTTGGCGATTGTTTGCGCACGACGTAACGCACTCACGCCGGGTAACAATTGGAATTGAAGCGTACAAGAGGTTTCGAATTTAATTTCGAAATAGGTATTTACTTATTAAATTTTTTATTTCGTTGCAATTTGTAGCGTAATTTATCATTTTTTGTACCTCTGGGTATCTATCGTTTAAAATAAATCTTCGTCATTTATCATCCGGCGCGCGCGCTGTGAGTTTACATCAATTTCATTCGCGATATCATCCGATTTCCGTGCGCCGCCGACTTTCACACTCGATTCGTGTCGGCGTCTATTTTCGCGTCGCGTATCAAATTTGCCAGAGTTGAAGACGAAATTCGTGCGAAACTCACGCTTGCCCTCTAGGCAGCCACCTTCTTCTTCTTCTAATGTTTGCACATCGTAATCATTTCCGACTTTCCAAAGCTCGCGCACGATGATGAATGATATGTTTGAAAAGAAACCGAGCTGAGTTGAGTGAGTGAAATTGGTTTTCGACAGGTAGTATTCATTGAGAATGATAACTGCTCGTGGTGTAATTGATCACGAAAATTTATCTGCGTGCGCACACGTTGCAAATGTTGAAATTTGCTTCTTCTCTTTTTTGCAAATTCCGCGTGAATTATTATACTCTTTAAAACCTATAAACCCTATTATCCTTGAAATCCTTTTCTAATCCCGGCATGTTTCACCGTTTAATATTGAAAAGACACGTAAGCCCGGAGAAATCATGGCCACAAATCCGGATGATGAAGAAATAATAAGCCCATCGAAACTTTCCACCTCGTCGATGCTCCAATTTCATTCAGTTTCATTCGCTCCACTGCCTCGCATCCTTCGTCCCCTTGTTCATTCATTAAGCAGCCGAATGGGAATGTAAATACGTAAAATGGGACTGGAGGACTTTTGCGGCTCTTTGGGCTTTTTGCTAAATATCACCGAGCGCATATAGGATTGTCGAAAATTATTTATATTCAGAGAGTTTCGGATTTAGGAATTCCATTTCGTGTAATATTTAATTTGCACACAGATTCGATCTGAATGCGCATGAAAAATGAAAATTTACGAGTTATGTAATAATTTTATGGAAATTTTAAGACTGTTTAGACTTTAGTACTTGTATAGTTTAATTCATTTTTAATCACTTTTTGCTGAGTGGTTTTTTAACAATTGAAACATTTTACGATGATGTAAAACCATTTTTTATTTGCATCTCATGCGTGGATACAAGCTGGTGAATAGTATACATAAATCTAAAAATAACTTCTATATAATTTTGGTTAAATTAACATTGGTTTTAAATTTCACGCGTAAATTCGATTTAACAACAAATCTGCTAATTTCCGAAGTGTACTTTTGGTGAGCGCACGCGAAATTCGTGAGTCATTCGACATTTAAGCGTTTGAATGAGTGTCTGTAGGTCAAAACGATTCATTGACGACATACACGTTGGATATACAATGTGTTTGAATAAATTTCAAATCAATATATTCCAATGTATTGATTATTTCGTTTGTGTACATTTGGTATCGCGGTTTTTGTTTTGGTTTGCTTTAAGCAGATGCGCATATTAATATGAACAATCGATATATAATAATCTGTTGCGGGGGAATACGCTCGGAATAATAAAAAGTAAAACAAACACAAGCACACGCTTCAGATTAATGCCCGCCGATAACGTATAAATTAACGAGCGCTAAATAAAAGAGGACTCGTTGACTTTTCGACGATGATGAGTCGGCCAGTAGTAGTTGATTGACATGAAATGAATGCGCGAATCATCGCATATATCAACGCCACAACGACAGCGACAATAACCTCACAGTATTCATTTAAATATTTAGATTCACGCTTTAATTTAATTATTTTATTATGACTCTTTTATTTTATCATCAAATTTACTCTCTGCGGTCAATTTTTTCTTCTTTGTGTGATTTTGGTGTTATTTTTACGTTTTCAATGTTGAAATTTCTATTTGGCATGTGTGGACAAAAAAGGATTGAGTCCAGGGAATAGTCGGAAGCGCAAACGCGTGAATCCAACTCTCAGGGCCATCGCGATTCTTGGCTTTGCTTGGCGCTGGTTTTTGGCGCTTCGCCGCCGATGCAAACATCAATATTGCGCGAGTAACCGGAGACTGTGTGTTTGGAAATGTTGAAAGCGTGCCAAGTGGGGTGGAGGTGGCGGCAGCGACAGAGGACCCCGCAGAAGCGCCGCAAATATAAATTACCATGAAGTACGAGTCGCGCGTTTTGCTCTCCGGGCCATCCTAAAAAACTGTAAACTAGCAAAATGTGACATTGTGATTGAATCCAATTATATTATTTGTTCGTTTTCGGATGTTTTCTTCCTGAATCAAAAAGTAATTTATATATTTTTTTGTTTTAGGTGAGTGTCAATGCAATCCACAATACCTACATAAACCAAAACGTAAGTGGTTTTTATTTTTGATTTATTTTTTGCATTTGCGCTAAATGTTGTAGTTCAAGCGGATATTAAACTAGATTAAGCATTTGCTTATTAAGTTTTATCGTTGTTTTTTTTTTATGTCGTTGTGGCTGATTACAAATTTTGTTGCTGAATAATTGACGACGCATTAAAATTTGCTTGAGCGCGCACTTGTTTTTGTCATAAAAATAATTGAAACATGCGAACGCGATACGTTTCGATTGGATTGGCACTTTTTTGTATGCATACACGCGTGAGCGACAAAAGCTGACGGAAGGAATCGGTACATGTATATTGCGACGAGAGATACAAAACGGGAAAATTGGATTGTCGCTGTCGCTTGCGTCGGGGATATAAATATCGAGCACACCGGTATGAAAATGTCGTTTGGTGCGCCAATTTGTTTCGCCCTCGAGGTCTTTTATACAAATTGATTTGATCAAAAGTGAACAATCGATCTGCGTACCAATATAAAATACCTAGTGTTTAAAAATTTAAATTTATTTCATTTAATTACATTCATTGTGGTATTCGCTTTCTACAGCTTTGTGTTTACCACAAAAATTGATTTATTTATTTTATGTGAATATTCATTTATAAATTCTCTTTTTTTCACTTATGGCTGTGTAATATTTATTTGTCTATACGTTTGGCGTTTATTTTGCACGGTGAAAGTTGGTTATAAATAATAATGATGCAAAGATCATGAGGGCACACACAAACACGCTGCGCGCACGCAATTATACGCTAAGTATACATTAAACATGTACCTGTGTCCTGACTCAAGTAGGTACGAAGTACGAACGCGCAATGAAAATGTTGCCGAGAAGAGATTGATTGATATGCGCACAATTCATAATTCGCACAATGCTCGCATGAATATTTATAAAGTTGGAGTTATCAAAAACAAAAAGAAAAACATGCCATTCTCTTGCGACACTCTCAGACCGCGCTCTTCTGAATCTTGTTTTTTATTCTTTGCTTGAATTTAATATTAGTTGAAAATGCAAATAATATCAGTAATGGCGCAACGTGCAATATTATTACGGCGTTATTCACGCTGCTCATTTGAATATCGTGTGAGATTCACGAGTGCGAATATGCAGAAAAGTGTCGTGAGGTATAACGCGCGCGCGATGATTGCGTAACTGCCGGCTTGTTAGTTTTGAAAAGTCGACAAATTGAAAATGATCAAATCATCAAAATTGACATGTCGAATGCGTGCATATGTGTGCAAACAAACGTTAATCATGGCGCGGAAAAGCGCGCTCTCTACTACCTCCTCTTTTTGTTGATTGTCGTCTGTGTGTATGAGTGTGCTAACTAACGACAAAAGTCGATTTGAATCGCGAGAGTTCAATGACATAAATCGCTTTTGTGCTAGGCGCGTTTGAATTATTTGTGTTTTTCGTGCTTTATGTTTGCGCATGGTGACATGACGGTGAATTGTTACAGTGTGATGATGTCACGTTGCAGAGATTTTGATTTCTAAAATATTTGATAAGGGAATTAAATTTATTTTCTGTATTTCTTTTATGTGGAAAAATAATATTGTATATAATATTATTAAATGATTAGATTTTCTAGTATAGTTGACACATTACAAACATGTTCGACTTGATTAAATTCCGTCTCTTTGTGGTTTGTGTTCGTTTGTGGTTGGCGAGATAACAAAGGTTGAAAACTAGGTTAGCTCGCCGTCGCCGTCAACATGAAAGGCGTTATCCTGCCGGTGGCGTTTTCTAATCTGCAGGTGGTAAAGTCCGTAGAAAGGGCAGCGTCACGTGATGATGTAATTAGCGCGAGGTCGATGGGCAAAGTGCCCTCATTGATAGGCACGTTCTTTGACACGCGGCGTATTTTAAAAATTCACTTCCGGAAGTAATGATCAAAGTCTAAAACGGGTTTTGAGCAAAGAAGAAAAATGGAAGTAAAATTAAGGCATCGTCGATTTTGTTCGACATTTGCTACACTTTAGCGCTGGCATTGAATGTAATTTTTGATTAATCAGGGTTTTTCGACTGTCACGTGGAGCGCGCACTGGTGGAAAACAGACCTTGTCCCCTCATCGTTCATCGTTCAGCGCTAGCGCGCGCTGCGTAGTCCTTGAACTTTTCCGCGTCGCCCTTTCAGAGTCGCGTTGTCTGTATTCAGTGCTCAAGTTTTGGGCTGTGTTTCCAGCGCTCGGTTCCCACAGTTTAGATTTATATATACATAGATCAGTTTCGAAGGAAGCACGACCGCAAACCTGCAGTGCGCTTTTTCGAGAAAACTTTTTACGCTGCAAGAAATTGTGCCAAAAAATTTAACGCAATTTTTATAACTTGGATGGCAAACGTGTTTGATTCTGAATTGTTTGAATGTTGTAATATAATGTGAGTAGGCAATATAAATCATAACCAATGTTGTAATTAATACCGCATTGTAATGGTGCGTGTGGCGTGCGCGCTTTTTGGAGGCTGGCCCCGACCGATCATTATTGTAATTTTATGGCTCAATATATATCGAATATCGAGAGTGAATGATGCCTGAGATGCTCCGCACCACCACGATGCCGCGTAATTGCTCGTTGGTATCAATTTACGCCGTCATTATATGCCGCAAACGAATTGCTCGGAAACTTTTGAAATGCGCCATCACGCGACGATCGAGGGGGAAACGAGCTGGGTAAACAGAAGAGCTACGAGGATGGTCATTGAAATCTGCCGAAATCGGCGATTATAAAACAGCTGTTGTTTGCACAGGAAAACATTAAATTTACTCGGTACTTGATTGAATTATGCAGAGATATAAAAACGCGCATGCTGCATAATATTCTAAGTGATTTGCAAATTATGCACAAACAGGTTTTTCTATGATTACTATTACATTGTTGGTCAAACAAGTTTTCTCTTGGAGACAACTGTGTTCTTTTTCAAAATTACACAACCAGGAAGTGATTTACTGATTATTACATGTTTAACATCAAAATCAATATAGTTTTTTGCAGAAAATTGACTTTAGTGAAGGAGAAACTTGTGCGAGGAAAAGTTATCCAATAAAAAATTATCCCACTTCGATCTCAAATCTTCAATTAACTCTGTGAAACTCAGTCTAACGATGAAAAAGTGTAATTTCTTAATCGCAACGAAATGCGCTCGAAATTAACGCTAAATTAGCAATTTGACGACATGAACGGTGAAGTCTTGGCAAGAAGAAAGTTAATTTGCTAATCTTGTGAGTCTCGCGGCGTTTTCTTCCTTCTCATGATTATCCAAATTGTAGTCATTTCTGTTTTCTTGCTGATTTTATGAGACTGAAGAAAAACGATAAAATTAAAAGCGCAATTCAATTGAATTAAGAAATAGAAGTTTGGAAATTTGATGTTTTACGGCTTGTTTTCACATGAATTAACATTATGTGTTGCTTATAGTGTAATTTATTGTTGATGTAGGTATTTGGATCGAAACATGGCGGGTCCGTTGAACACTAGGAATTTAATAAGTATTATTTGCATTTTTATAAATGTAAATTATTGTGTTCGTTTTGCAATTAATGACTGGGGTTTCGACATGCGCGAAGATTTCATTCATATTCATCGCGTTTTCGATTTGCGCATCGTATCGGAATCGGAGTAAATGTTAAAAAGAAGTTTGCTCGCGTGTGGTAATATAATATTGCATATCGGGTGAAACATTCTGCTTAGTTTATTTCCATTTTTTATGCGTGCGCGTTGGTGCATTCCATCGAATTGTTGATTTTTGTCTAAGAATGGTAGGTTTTAATAGATGGAAATTTCTAGGTGAACGCAGCGTGCAAAATTTTAATGTTTTTGTTGCATTTATTTATCGGTGCGCTGCAGAGAAAGGTGTGAATTTGATACGTTGTGGACTGTCGATATAAATACAGAGAAAGTCAAAATTTCGCACGTTTAACAAAAAATTTGATAGAAAAGAAAGGGTTTGCATTATTTACTTATATTGGTTCCTGATTAATGAATTATATGTTATTATTTATATATTATTCTTCCGGGGTACTTTTTAGTGTTTACAGTTATTAATTATTAGCGATTAAAGCGATAAATATAATTATTGTCTACGTACAGTGTGTATTACATTTTGCAGTCCACTGAGTCACGTTTTAGTTGATAAAATTAATGTGTAGCGAATTGTTTCGAATTAAATTATTGATTTAACCAATAATTAACAAAGAACAGTTAAAACTTGAAACTGGGTCATTCTTTTTGTTTTAGATAAAAATATCCGCATGCTTGCTGTTATTAAAACATGACTATCGTTTGCCCAAATCTGATAATTCAATCTGTGATTGTTCGCAATCAAAGGCGGGATGTTTGCGGTTGCGCTGGCGCGTGGGCTCAATTTTAATTAAACGCAAAGCCTTAATTCCGCAAACGCTGGCCGGCATTTAATTTGTCATTAGAATTACAATAATTTACATTTGCTCGCTGCTTGCCGATTCGAATTAAAATAGGTTCGTAGGCTGCGCTGAGCGACAGCTGATTTAAATCGCGTTATATCACGCACGGTGCAAACAATCGAAACATTGTAACTAGAAGAAAAAATTGTAAAAAGTTGTGATTATTCAAGGCTTTGCGTCTCCTTTTAACACGACCGGAGATAGTTTTTTTTGTTGTTTTCTGATCAATATGTCATGCGGCATGACGACATGACCGTGAAAACGCAACGCATTATTAAAAATGATTGCCGATCGATGTTGTTTGCTAATGTCGGCCATCTTGTATTTGTATTCAAAACTGTGTTATTCGATGTTACACAATTTACACAATGAATCTGGAGCAAGACTCGGTTACTAAATAATAAATTCGTGAAGTCAACGCAAAAAATACGCGGGGAATATAATTGTGTGGTTTTGCTTCCTTGCTGTCTCAGCCATTCTTTATATTCATTGTTTAATTTGTTATGCAAGATAATAAATGTATAATATAAATTGAGAATGTTTTGGTTTGAAAAACGCAACGAATCTGGATGTATATTTGCGAGGATCGTAAAATTGACGTCAATTAATGTTGATTTTAGTTGGCTTAAAATGTTGCTTAGATTTATAAATAAGTATTACAACAATAACGAAATGTTAATTGTAAAATGGTAATTTTGATCTTTGTTTTATAATACGCACGTATTCTACTAACGTATAATTATTTTATGATTCATTGATGGTAATAATACATATCAGACGATTAAAAGCGACGAGTTTAGTGCCTTAAACTTTGTGATGCTAGTTGTTTGAGTATTTTACGCATGCGCAGTAGAGCAAAGTATAACGAACGGTTGATTTATGTTTCACCACGATTATTTGCACGCTGGTCATTAGATTTTTTGAAATTTGGAAACAGCAGCTGTTTCGAGGCGTGTTTTTTTTTTGTGGCTGTTCACTCTTCGGCGAACACATCTCGCGTAAAATTACGCACAATGCGCAACGCCGCGGCACTGCGTATAATGAAAATATATTCGGACACGGGCCGATGATCTAACCGCATGCACACTTTTCGTCCAAACAAGCGCTTCAAGGCGCGCAGTTTGACACAATCCTGCGCTACGTGCGGTGAACGCTTCCGTTTCTTTCCTCTTCCAGCGCAAAAACCGCGAAAATTTGTTTTATTGTCACACTGGGCTTAGCTTCCGGATTGCTGCGACACTTGTAAGTGGATCGAGTAAACAAACAAAAAATGCTCGCGACATAATGCTGCTGTAAATCCGTCGGTTTCTGTACGAAAGTGAAGTCGTATTTGTTGGTGCAGATAATAAACCAATTTGTAGAAAAACGTGACTGGCAGGTAATTATATTTCTTTTTCGGGAGGTTTCTTTAATTTTGCAATAGAAATAAAATTTATTACCGCGCACGACAAACGCTCGTTGCCCGAGTCGCAGCTCGATTAGAAACGAAATATTCATCTCGCGTGACGGTCGTGCGTTCTTGATTAGTTTGCTCTCCAGCTCGAAGTCGTTCGACGTCAATCGGTAATTTTCTCAAATTACATACACAGAAAAAACGACGCTCTGTGCTTCTCAAATCGAAAGTTGCAATATAACGCCTTGTTACTCGTAAATGTTGCATAAATATACAACTCTTTCTGGCTTTGAAGTTTTACGATGACTTTGTTTTTGCGTATGGCAATAAATTGCGCTGCGCTTTTTTCCCCTTCGTAGCAAATTTGTTTGTAACGAATTGTTTTCCTGTTTGCAGGGGTTTTGGACATGACTGCCACGGAGAACACAATCCGTTTCAGCGTCCACACCCTGGACAAAGCTACCAAAGCAAAAGTCACATTAGAGAATTACTATAGTAATCTAATAACGCAGCACGTCGAGCGGAAACAAAGGTTTGTAAACTTTTCGCTTATATCGCAAGCATCATTGCTTAACTTTTTGACTCGACGTCGTTGCAGGTTAGCGAAATTAGAAGAAACACTAAAAGATGAAAGCCTGTCGGAGGAGCAGCGCCATGAAAAGCGGGCGCAGCACGCGCAAAAGGAGACGGAGTTCCTGCGGCTGAAGCGATCGCGGCTTGGAGTTGAAGACTTTGAGCCGCTGAAAGTGATTGGCCGGGGCGCTTTCGGCGAGGTGCGACTGGTGCAGAAGAAGGACACTGGTCATGTGTATGCGATGAAAATCCTGCGCAAGGCAGACATGCTGGAGAAGGAGCAGGTGGCGCACGTGCGCGCCGAACGTGATATCCTCGTCGAGGCCGACCACCAATGGGTGGTGAAAATGTATTATAGTTTCCAGGATCCGATCAATCTCTATCTGATCATGGAGTTTCTGCCTGGCGGCGACATGATGACGCTGCTGATGAAGAAGGACACGCTCTCCGAGGAGTGCACGCAGTTTTATATCGCTGAGACGGCGCTCGCCATCGACTCGATACACAAGCTCGGTTTTATTCATCGCGATATCAAACCGGACAATCTGCTGCTGGATGCGAAGGGGCACCTTAAACTAAGCGACTTTGGGTTGTGTACCGGGTTGAAGAAGTCGCATCGAACGGACTTTTACAGGGATCTTAGTCAGGCGAAGCCATCGGATTTTAGTAAGTATAACGTTATGAAACTTCTTCAATTTAAATTTTTTTCTGTTTTCTGATTCCCTCAGTCTAGATTAAGATGTGCAGAATTTAAAGTTTGTTTTGTGTTTTTAGTAATAACATCAAGTCCAATGGATAGTAAACGACGTGCAGAGAGCTGGAAAAAGAACCGAAGAGCACTGGCGTATAGTACAGTTGGTACTCCAGACTATATTGCGCCGGAGGTGTTTCTACAGACGGGATATGGTGCCGCTTGCGACTGGTGGTCGCTGGGGGTCATCATGTATGAGATGCTCATCGGCTATCCGCCCTTTTGCTCTGAGAATCCACAAGATACTTATAGGAAAGTGATGAATTGGCGCGAGACACTTATATTTCCGGCTGAAGTTCCCATTTCCGAAGAGGCCAAAGACACCATTGTCAGGTAAATATAGGAAACTAGTAATTTATTGTACAAATTTTAACATAATGATGTTTTGAAGGTTTTGCTGTGAGGCTGAACGACGATTAGGTAACCAGAAGGGCATCGAAGAGCTGAAGCTGATACCGTTCTTTAAGGGCGTTGATTGGGAGCACATCCGTGAGCGGCCTGCCGCCATCGCGGTTGAGGTGCGCTCGATCGACGACACTTCCAACTTTGACGACTTCCCTGACGTTAAACTAGAGATCCGTAAGTCATATTTTTTTATTTTCTATTATTTGGAATGATAATTATTGATTTGTAATTTATTTTCTCTAGCTGCTGCTCCATTACCTCAAGACGGTGAAGTGACATACAAAGACTGGGTATTTATAAATTACACGTTCAAGCGGTTCGAGGGTCTGACGCAACGGGGGACGCCCACGAAGAAATAGTCGGCGCTGCACCCTAGGACTAGGTGGTAGGATGAACCGAGCAAGCACTCCTCTTATTTTTAGAAATGCAAGAACAACAACTACAAAACATGCAGCGTTGCGCTATCCTTTTTGCGGTGATAAAACCTTCTTCAAGATACCTTAAACAAACAAAAAACACAAAAAAATAATAATTAACTTTGTGCGCCGCGGCGTTCTGAAGAGAGTTTAGGAGTAACCACGTCAACAAATGTTTAATATTGTTGCATATTTTCTAAAAGTAAGTCCCGAGCGACGATGGTCGCACTGTTTGTGTGGCTGGTGGTGTTTTCTTCGATTTTTCGGTGCTGTGAGTAGGAGGGAAAAAAACGTGTCGCCGCAATTTTTGCATTTAATTTGATGTCGTCACGCCGAGCTAAACCTAACGATTAAAACCGAAGATAATGGTAACACTTAAACGAGAGTAATGCGTAATATTAATTGTTAATGACATAATATTCAATATATTATAGTCGTGTTGAAATAGCTATTTTTGCACTAGATGTTCGAATAGTGGAGTAAGTAAGACTAAATAAGGAAAAACGTTTTGAAACGCTCATCTAAGTAAGGAATTTTGAAGAAAATAAATTTACGATAGTATTGTTTGCTTATTTATCAACTCTACGCTCTTTTAAACTTGATCTACACTCTTCACTTGTAAGGCTTTGGAATTGCTTCAAACGCTAATTATTTAAGATGGAAATGATAACGAACTAAACGTTTCTTGCTGTGATATTTTATCTTTCTCTTATTTTTTATTAAGGTTACGGATGATAAACCGCGAACATTTAACCAAAACTAAGCTAAACAAATGAGAAAACATTTTTTACGACGTGTCGCATCATTTTAAATGCAAAAATTCAAACATGCATACGATACGCTATCAATGTGAATATGTTAAAATTGTTTTATTGTTATCAAAGTGATTTGTTTGTTTTTTTTCTTCATTTTTTAATTTTAATTATTTAGACTAATTCTTAGCGATTTTCGGCGAGAATTTAGTACAATTTGTTTAACTTGCACCGAAACACCCAAAAATAATATGTATTTCGATTCTAGAGTCTATTTAATTGCGTCAGTTTTCCGATGAAAATACACACGACAAGGAAACACTTAATGTTGTAATATTAGAATTGTAAATAAAAAGAAAGCAAATAACGCAATGTCCTTACGGTAAATATTAACAAAAGAAAGAAATCTCCATGTAAACAAGAATATTTTTGTAGCACTGGGAACGAATGGAAATTACTAATGACTTGCGACAAATTGCTAGCGAGGAGAGCTATAATTTCTCTTGAACTAAAAAAAATCTCTTAACAAAGAAAACAAACAAAACAAAATCTACGCATATTTATATTTATAACAAATTATTATGTAAAGAAAAAAATTGAATTAAGTTTCGTCCAATTATTATTTTTAGTAGACAAATGAAATGAGACACACGATAGGAAGAGAGAGAGTACCAAGTACTTGAATAATTTTACGTTTTTATTTTACGTTAACGTTACGTTGCGGATTTATTATTATCATTATTATTATTATTTGTTTATGTATAGATACGATTACGAATTGTGGTAATGCAATCGATGCAAATGCTGTACATTAGATTATCCATGATCCATGATTAATTGTATATGTTGTGTGTTGCGCAGATAAACGAAAAAAGAAAACGAAACGAGGCAAACAAACAAAACACATAAAAGACGAATGAATGCTGAGCGTTTTTGATTTGTTGTTATACAGCATATCGGGGCACCGAGTGTCGCTCGTGTGCGAGGTTTGTAGGATAAGTCGAGAAATGTACATTTCGGGGTGGACGTAGGAAGCGAAGACAAACAGGACACGTTATAGGCTCTTCTTCTTTAGCTCTCTAAACTAAAACAAAACAGTTGGAAAAGATAGCCGAGAAAAACTTAAATCATCCACACTCTTCACGCACTTTCAAAGCAAAGATAAATTATTTTACTTCAAAACAAGGAAAACTCTGTTATTTATTTATCTGTATAATTTTTACTAGTTGGCTCGCTGACCGGACTTTGTAAATAACATTTTTCTTCAAAATGTGTATAACATAAAGAAAGTCTATTAAAGTATGTGCTTTAACTTTGATCTTTGCATTTACAAATATTTATTCAACGCATTCCTATAATCCAATATAATTTAACGTTTGGAATAAAATTTAAACTCAGTGATATTCAGTGATTTAGTGTAGCTTTGATTGGTAACACTGCGAACCGCCATTGCTCAACTTCTTGCAATACAAGCAGCGCCCCCTACAGTCACAACATATTTGTTTTCTTACTGCGGGCAGCAATGACATAATTTCCTCAGCTGCTATTATTTTACTTAGTTTATTGCATACTTATTGTAATTTATCCGTGTTTAATTAGTTTATTAAGTAATTACAACGTGCGCAGTGTTGTTGCAGCAAGAAGAACGAACAAAATCAAGTATAAACTCGAAGAAACCGAATTATTTGGACACAGGTGCACGCCCATATTGTTTATTTATAGTTCGTAAAATTGCAAACCGCATATTTCCGGAATGGAGGATATATTTCAATGGTGTCGCGAAGGAAACGCGTTGCAAGTACGTGTTTGGCTCGACGATACCGAACATGACATGAATCAGGGGTAGGTTAAACCTGTTACACCTTTTTACCTCAGCAAATAAGGTTGAGCAATCCTTTTATGGTTAGCTGTGGTGTTCATGTGGGATTGATTTAAAACTCAATGTCACATACTGTAACTTATTTCTTATTACTTATAATTACAGGGATGATCATGGCTTTAGTCCATTGCATTGGTCTGCAATGGAAGGTCACATAAAAATCGTGGAGATGCTCTTAGCACGCGGGGCAATCGTGAATGCGACAAATCGCGGTGATGATACACCGCTTCACTTGGCGGCTGCACATGGTCACCGTGATCTTGTGCTACTGGTAAGAAAATAGTTTCCAGTATTCTAAATTATATTTTCACTAATTTTAATTTTTTGCAGTTATTAAAACACAAGGCAGATATAAACTTTACTAATGAACATGGCAACTCTCCATTGCACTATGCCTGTTTCTGGTCATACCATGACGTTGCTGAAGACCTGGTACGGCATGGAGCCAACGTTATGATTGCTAACAAGTACGGTGATACTCCGCTGGATAAAGCAAAGGGTACCCAAAGCAAACACCTCCATGACATCGCCGTTGACGCCGGACAGGATATGAAAATTATCAAGTTCAAAGACCAATCTTGGTTGGGTTACAAGACGCGATCTCGCGATGCTACACTCAGCCGTCATCGAGGTATTAACATTAACGACCTTCACAAAAAAGACAAGCTAGCTTCTACCCCGAGCGGTGATTCTTACCGCGGTGTTTGGCAAAAGAACGAGATTGTCCTCAAGGTACTTAACATTCGCAACGTCACGCAGCGCATTTCTCGTGATTTCAACGAAGAGTATCCTAAATTGAGGATATTCTCACATCCCAATATTCTACCGGTTATTGGTGGCTGTAACTCGCCTCCGACTTTGATCCTTGTGAATCAATACATGCCAATGGGATCTCTCTATAGAGTTCTGCATGAAAGCAGCGGCGTTGTGGTCGATTTACCGCAAGCTTTACGTTTTGCTTCGCAAATCGCACGGGGAATGGCGTACTTGCATAGTTTAGAGCGTATCATTCCCGAATATTTCTTGAACAGCAGGCATATTATGATCGATGAGGACTTGACAGCTAGAATCAATATGGCTGACTGTAAATTCAGCTTTCAGGAAAAGGGTAGGGTGTATTATCCGGCTTGGATGTCACCGGAAGCGCTTTCAAAGAAGATTACCGATCGTAATTGGGAAGCGTCGGATATGTGGAGTTTTGCTGTTCTCCTCTGGGAGCTTGCAACCAGGGAGGAACCTTTTCCGGATCTATCGCCAATGGAGTGCGGAATGAAGATTGCATTGGAGGGATTGCGCGTTCAGATGAAACCGGGAATATCCAGTCATTTATCGAAATTGATTAAAATTTGCATGAATGAAGATGCCGGCAAACGACCCAAGTTCGATATGGTTGTGCCAATTCTCGAAAAAATGCAGCGCTAAGAATTTGACAATGATTTTCAGACTCGAAGACACACTTTGTGTTCAAGCTTTAAGACGATTTATTTATTGCCTTCCAAACTTACGCAGACAAAAAAGAATCGTTGCTAAAATGTATACATGCAAGACAAGTGCCTTAAGATTGCCTTAAAACTAAAAAATAACGCTTTCCGTGTTAAAACGTCTACATACTTAACAATCTAATTGATGGATATTTATTATTTATTAATGTAGTTACATAGTGCCAAAGTAACTATTTCTTATACGCAGTTAAACTCGATTAGTTTTACAGATGTATCTAATTTTAATACGAGTGCCATGTTTGAAATAATGAAACGCGAATCAAAGAAGTATGAATAACAGTATTTTAAGTATGTATTTTAACACTTTGATATTTATTGATGTGGTGCTGCACAAAATCAAAACTTATTTGTTTTTAACGATATGAAGTTTATATGATATTTAATAGAATATATTAATTAATAACTTAATGCGTAAGATTTCATATGTATTTCATTCTGGCAAATTCTGAAGACGCTGACATTTTAAAAATTTGTTTGACTGTTTGAAGTATTTTGTCCCAGGTGGCGCTAGTGGTATGAGCGTCGATGAAACACGTTTTGCAGTGTTTTTATTTAGTAAACAATTTGCATCAGTGCGGGAACATTGTTTGTGTCCGTTGTGATAAATGGTAAGATATTCTTTATTTTTACTCACCTTAGACTATAAAACCAAAGATATGTTTAAGTATCTATTATTTAATTACAATTATGGTAATTTATTTAATGAAAATAATGGTTGCGGCGTTTAATTATACGGGAAAGTCGCGATTAGCGTAATTGGGACAATAAATCGCACGCTGGAAAGTGTGTTTGTATGTTAGAAAACATTGTCGGCGACTGGCACAAAAACGCAAGTGCACCCCGCCGGTGGTGGCGGCGGCGGCATGCGCAGATAATCGCGGCCGCCTGAGGAATATCGAATAGCGCGCGCAGCAGGGGCCAGCTGCAGCCGAAGCAGTGTCCCGACGACGACGGCGGCTAGGGGCTCTTGCGTACCACCCGCGCACGTTTTTGGACCGCTTCGCCGGCGGCAATTAATATTTTTTTACTAACGCGGACGCGATGCCTCGTACCGGGCACGCACGCACGGGTCGATAATTGCACCCCGGCTGCAATCGGGTGGAGTGATGACTTATAAATAAATAAACAACATGGCGCTGGTGATAATATGATATTTGCAATATCGTCCGGTTTATCATGGAGCCAACCAGCTCCACGCCGAGTCCAGAGACTAGCGTTGCGGATTCCACGTATTCAAGGTAACAACAACAACACAACAAAAACGCACTCACAAAATGATAAAATTATAAACACGACAGTATTTATTTTCGATGTTGTGTTGTTTAGTGTGTAAAATCAGTAAAATGATAATAAGGAAATGTATCTACATTCGTTGCATTGGCGTGTCCTTGAAGCGCGAGCTGACGGCTAACGCGTTTGTTTTGTTTCGGCGATTCGCTGATTGAAAAATCAATGCGGTTTTAAACGACGGAGACTCACACACAACATGAAATGGTAAAACATTGATAAAACCGGCGAAAGATTTCCCGCTGCTTTTCCGGCGTCGGCCTTCGACGTGCACACACTTGGGTTATTATTTAATCGGGCGATGTTCGAGCGCGTAAAGAGCCCTCAAGGGCATTGCAATGAGTGACCTAATTTCCCATAATGGATCCTACCATCCCTCCAATGACACGCACCGACATAGTAATAACACCTACTAATAACCCAACAATTTTCATAAATCTGCATTTTCTTTTTCATTAACATAAAAAATATCTCGTCTTATTGTATTGATTTTTATTTACAAGGAAATGCAATTGATTTTGTTTTTGTTTCTTGTTTATTCTCTCACGGCAAATTACAGTTTTGTTTGGTTTTGTTTCTAACATGATTTAGTCGTAAGTGATTATAAATTTTTAATTGCATTCCAGCGTTGATAAATCTTGCTCACTTTGAATGTTTTTATATGGCTTATTAAGTCGCGTTCCACGGTAGTGGCGCATTAATGAACGCATTATATCGCTATTTTATGTGTTGTAAGAATTTCTACTTGGTTGATCTTCACTTTTATCGGGAATTTTTCTGCCTAATTCGTCAATTAACTCAAATATTATTGCGCAATGCGTGTGAGTGTGTGTTTATATATATTATATAGGCTAGTCGTGGCGTGGAGTGATGATACTTTGTTGAAATTGTTCAATTTGTGTAATTTTTATTTCTTGCTGTGTTTGCAGCGGCAGCGTGAAGCAAGAGCCCGGCTCGAATCCAGCCAGTCCCCTCGAGGCGTCCAGTCCGACGGCCGCGGCGCTGCGATCTCGCGGTATGTTAATTAAATTTAAATATTCATGTGCCTGTTACGCAATACGGCGGGCGCGGAGGACCGAAGCGCATCCGCCCATTCCGCCCAGCAATGTTGTTGTTGCTGATGTCTCTTCGCAGCGAAAACATTCGAATGCATCTCGATTTTTGTTTCTCTCGCGTGTGATCCGAATATATATACTTACAGGCCGTAACGTAAAAATTTACGACTTTTCAAAAAATCCAAATTTTACCAAATAAATGTTTAGGAAAAATGGATGCGAGAGAGTTAAATAACCGTGCAGCTCGGTTTACATAATGTTATGTAAGCAATGCAACGCAATGCAATATATACAAGGTGTGGCAGATTATAATATAAATTATTGCGAGTTACGAGGCGTAATGCACTATATGGTATCACACCATGTTGGAGACGAAGGAAAAGTTAGACTTGCACAGATAAATAACGAATTTCTCTTCTATCTTCGCTGCTGCTGCTTTGCTGCCGCGCGCCAACTATGTGCATTGTGCGCATTAGCCGCGCTCGTTATTTAATTCGAGATTTCGATTTAAATAATGTTGCCGGCGGCCGGGTATTTTTTCCGGGTAATTTATTGGAAAATTCAGCCCGTTTGGATAGATAAATTCTCGCCGGCGAATACGCTGCATAACAACGGCCGCAATGGCTTTAATAGCAGTGTAGATAAAGTTTAGAGCGCCTGCTTAGTTGCTAAAGTAAATAAAGTAAAGGACCGCGCACCGCGTGTGAGCCATGGCTATGGCTGGCAGCGCCAAATAGGGAATATATTCAGTTATAACAAAACCGAAAACGAGCAGTGCCATAATGCCAACCGCATCGCAGGCACCGACGGCGGCTGCGGCGGGATGGGAGGCAGCAGCCGCAGACGCGGATGCTTTGGCAACCGAACCAACGCCAGATCGATAAATGTGTTGCCTGCTTTCGGAGTGCATAAACGTCGACGTGTTATTATGTTTTCAAATTACTTCTCGTTTTTTATTTTCATGGAAATTATGAGGAAATTAATTAATTAACGTAGAGCATAATACAGCTATATAATGCGTATTACATTATGAAAGCAAAATATAATATTTGGCATTTTGTGTTTTTGCTATTACATATTTCAATAGTTTTGTAGGTTATGAATAAAACTTACGCCATCTCACTGCAAATTTTTGAACTGTTTATTTTCCCGCTCGGAAAATTGAATTTTTAAATGGAATTTTTCTATGAAATGAATTTTCACGAGTGTTTTATTTATTGTCATTGTGCAAGCGTTCGTGTCAGGGAAGCGCGTATCGTTTCGCATACCTACTTCCTATACTCGCACTTCCTCTGCGCGAGATAATTTCTCGCGATTGCGCTGCGCGCTTGGAATGCGCGCACCGCGAGCAGGACGACGTAATCACAATACAAAAGGTAGGCGGTCACTTACCTGCGCGCCGCGCGCATTTCCGACTCGCGGCCGCCGCACAATATCGTACCGTTTTCATATTAAGGTATATCTTTACCTTTATTGCATATTGCGCGTCGCAACAACAAACGCACGAGAATCGTCTGCTTTGTGCAGGCGAGCAGGCGTGCAGGATTACTGCTATTAGGGCACTTTTCTATTCTCTTTTATGAGCAGCCATTCTGCGCGCTGGATAAGTGAAATTAAATACAATGCAAGTGAAAATACATGCGGAATGCATCTATTTTATTCTATTAATGGAAAAATTAATGTTTTGCAATATTTAAAATCAAATAAACTAAAAATAAAATTTATTTATTTTTAGAATTCAATGTAGATTTATATTATGATATTGGATATTTTTATTTTTGTAACCTGGGAATCGAATTTCAATTCCCAATTCCGTTCGCTTTTATTTCGCGTGATAATACGCGATTGAAACAACTTGCGTACGCGTTCGTCATCCGTCCGGATGGCCGGACACACACACCGCACCAGTCCGGCGAGTTTTTTTTTTTTCGATCAAACTTTTTATTCGTTGTCTTCTCATACGACCATCCGTGCGTCCACTTCACGTCCGACGTGATGCGAGAGCATCACACTCGTATAAATTACCTACCACTTCGAGCCTGTGTGCTTTTGTGCTTGTGTGTTTGTGCACTTGCGTACAATGAAATACGAGTATGTGAATATAACCAATTTCTGAAACGAAATTAATACAATTTGTCTCGATTTAACTTAATTTAACTCCAGTTGATGGTAAATTTTATTGCGCACACACACCATAAACACATTGTATATATTTATATTTTACTATTAGCTTATTATGGTAAGAATAATTTGAGATAGGATGGCATGACTCCTCCGAATAGATTTATAGACCGGAGTATAATAAAGATAGACAGAGCGTCGATACACACGGATTATGTTCCTTAATAATCTCCTTCGAGAGAGCCACGACGATTCGGCTATACATAAATAAAAAACCACCTGAAGTTCGAAAAAAATCCACACAGATTTCGCAATCAATTGATGTTGTTTTCTCATGGGCATAATTTACGACCGCGCTGCCAAACGCTCATAATGGCTTTGAAATTTCAAAAATAAATCGTAACGGTACATCCTCGATGGATGTCCGGCGGTAATTTAAACCGAATCAACACTTGTGCTCCGCGGCTTTAATTATTTGGTTGAAATAATAAGCGACTTATTGAGAATTGAGAGTTGTGATGTGTTTTTTCTTATTAATGACTGTAATTATTAAACGTGTTGAAACGTAACTTATCTTTAAATCACTTTTTAGTCGTGCAGTCACGTTTTATAAATGTGCAACACCTTTTTTTTATCAATCTCATTAATTATTACGTTTTATTAGTTAAGGGTTAATTTTTTAATGTAAAAATGTATAAACTTTTAATGGAGAATTAATTTTTTGCATCAGTGCGCGTGTCTAAAAGTCAAATTTTACACACTTAATATTCAATATTCTATACTTTGTGCATCGCGTGTGCGTGATTCTCTTTTTGTGAGCGGCTGCTGCGGTGGCTGCTCGCAGCGCGCCGCCGAAGGTGAACAACCTCGGTTATTCCTCCTGCAGCCTGCAGGCCCAACATCATGCCATGAAAACTATCCAGGTAGTACAAAAGTACAAATACA